ATGTTTTTTTTATATACCTCATTAATGGCCCTTGTAAGACACGAACTAAAGTTGAAATTGGGAAGTGGTAAACGTAAATATGTTGTCCTGTTAAACATCCCGAAAGCCAACAGTCACATAAGTCGATTGAAAAAAAAACTTATAAATATTGTTGACAGTGATTTGCAATTAATTCCACAGTAAAGTATTTATGTTTTCAATAAATTCGCCTACTGTATAGTAACATTGATTTGGCATTTTGTGTTTGAAGTTGTACGAGATTTTTATTTTCCCTTTTTTCCACCAATATCAACTTGTTGAATCGCCAAACCAGCTATCTTATTCCATAATTTTCGCTTATATCGTAATAAAAATAATACATTTCTTGCTCCGGTGACATTGACAACTGAACCCGATTGTGGCTGAAAAATGCCATAGAAAAATGTGACAATAATAAAAAGATTCCGCCATCTAGACATAAAGCATCGACGCATTTCTAAATCTCAATCATTAACGTTAAAAAAAGGTTGCATTGTGATAATAACGTTCCTAAGAATCATTAACCACATGTACCAGAGTGTTCGAAAGAAATACGACTGAAGTCATTATTTTTTTAAATTATGTCTGGTAGGTATTCATATGTGGCCAGTAGTTCATTATGATCATTGTTATCATAATTCAAACTCTTTGAGCGTTCCCTTATACATAATAAATCAATCCCTAAGTGTAATATCAGGTTTTTCTGCTTCTTTACGGTAAATTGAATATGGAGACACGGTAAATTGAATATGTTCGATTGGAAATTCACCACATCCGAATGAATGTTCTAAACATAAAAAAGTAAAGTCAAAAGAAATCCTATTAGAACAGACTATGATAAACAGAGATCGGATTAGACTGAGTATATTAGCCTAAACTTCATATAATACACATAGAAGGGACAATACCTCCTTTGGAAATCTCAGAATAATTAAAAAATCAAAAACGAAAAATTGGATTTTGACTTTTTTTTGTAGCAATAGAGCTCCTTGTGAAAGAGTAGAGCTCCTCCTGCAGCCAAGTGGTAATGTGAGCATTACTGCGTTCCGGTTTTGAAGGCGAACTACCAGGCGAACGATTTGTTCATCCCGTCACTTGGTATCATAAAAAAAACTTATCATCTATCATCATTTTGCTTTTAAATTCGCTACCGAAGTAAGTAAACAATTGCCGATTACGCGCCAAAAATATAGAGCAAAGTACAAATTGTACTTATTTATTAATCCCTTGGAGTGTAGGTAAATGTACTTTGCTTATTTCAATCCCTGATATAATGTAGGAAAAATGAGTAGCATAAGGAGCAATCTGGTAGAGATCATATAAACCGAATCGGGTTTAGAAATGCGACGACTGAATAAAAAATTCACGCGACAACAATAAACCTGTGAAATTTTAACACATTATGCCGTTAACTACATAACTCACAATCATTAGAGTAAATTTAAAGAACAATAAATATATACTAAATAAATAATAATCTCGAAACATAGTAACACGTATAATTAAATAAATTGATTTAGTATGTAATCTGTTTCAATAAAAAAATAAAATTAATCTAAAAAGTTTGAAAATTAAATATAATTTAAAAAAATTATGATAACAAAATTTGATTTATAGATATTCAAAGTAGCCGTTACTTGTTTATGTAACAGTAAGCGAATAAATATGAATAAAGTTAGTTAAATAATTACGTAGAAATAAATTACGTTATGCCTGAATATTTCCATTTTTTTTATTAATTTTCACGGTTCTGGGAATTTCGGACTATTTGAGGCTTGTCAATAAATTCACAAAATAATATTTCAAGATGTTCTACAATCGTTAAAAAATAATAATGTTTAAAGAAATTATGTAAAATTATTACGGCTAAATTCAACAGAGTGATCGTAAACTTTTTAATTTTTTACATTACTACAAGTAATCAGTGCGTTCAATAAGAATAAATGTATATTTAAACTCTAAAGTTTTGTTTTATAACAATAAAAATACTAATATAATTATGAAGTGGTTGTAAGGGGAAGAACCTTTGCCTAACCAAAAAATTGGTGAAAATTAAATATGTTTTTATTCGCACATAATATATATTTTATACTGAAATTAAAATGAAATTATTCAGGCTATAATATTATGATTAGCAATCGTCATCCAATCCTTAAGTTGGGGGCCATTCTAAAAATCCCTGTGTCATATATTATGTTCATTTTACTATCCCAATTTTAAACATTGGGCTGTACGAAAACGATTTAAAGATTCGCCTAGTATTTGACGATATGTTATTTTATAGCGCTTAGAGTTGAAATTTCAGTCAGTAAGTGTACTGCTTACTAAATGTTAAATAGTATGAAGTGTATATTTAAGTGAAACAGAAGCACGCTTAAGGCGCGTTTACACTATGAACTTGGCCGTATGAATTCTACTGACAAAAATTTCAACAAATTGGTAAACAATTTGTGAATTGTGTTTCCATTTTTTTTAAATTTATGATTTGATTTCATTAACAATTATCATTTATATCTTGTCGTGGGATACATCAGTTACAATTTTGGCCTCATCTCATTTTCATTATACAACACAATAACTATGATTACTATACTATATTATTTTAAATACAACAGCATTAACTTTCACTTATTTACTTTCGTTTTTTGAGTTTACTACTTTGATTCTTTCACTTTTTACAAGTACAATCAGCTTAAGAATTATCTGAATGCTCAAAAATTGTATTTGATAAAAAATAATCTTATTCCAAGGAATTTAAGGTGCACTTGCATAACAGACGAATTTCAGTTTTAATCAAAAGTGCACGTTACATTCAAAGTTATAAGGCATATTTTTTCAAAAACTGCTGTTTTTTTAATATAAATTCCGAATTAAACTTACACATATCGATGGCTTTCTAGAATAGCGGCATATCTCAAAATCAACCTCATTCATCAGAAAGATAATTTAAAAACAACTGAGGCCTTAACGCGCACAGACGACGAATCATACGAAGGTCTATGTTTTCACGTGTTTATTTTAACCAATAAAAAGCTCAGTGTTTTTTTACACATTCAAATTTAGCACTTTCTAAAGTCAGCTGTGCCAAATTGTATTTGTCTTTATATATAAAGACAAATATGTAAACAGCTTTATATATATAAAGACAAATTCTGTATAATTTGACTTTGAGGCACTATTCTTGAAAAGCAGCGATATGTGTACTAACTACATAATACGTCGGAGGTAATAAAACATTCCATTTCATTTCTACTCATTAAACAACACAAATATTAGTTACACTATGTATCACTATGTCACAGTTCCGCAGTCAGTAGCTAATACAGTGATTTTTAAAATCGTGGAACTGAACGTGCTTATCATACAATTTTAATACCCAATAATTTTTTCGAAATTTGCTTTATAAAGTTTCGAATTACAAAAAAAAATATATGTATAATTAGAATAAAATTAAATGTGTTATTTTTCAATGTAGCCTAACACTGGAAGTGAAGCTGCTTGAATTAAACGATTCATCATCACGAGCCGTATTTTATTCGTTCATTCGTCCACTGACTAATGACCAATCAGTGCTCCCCAATAGAATTCCACTTCACGCCATTCGATTCCTTGAGTAGGTATGCAGTTACTTCAATCCACAATTTTAGAAAACACTAGGTATTACTGAATATATTATTATTTTGTACAATTTATAATACGCATTAGCTAGGTACCTACGATTATGTACACAATTAGATATATTATTATGTAATTTCACAAACCAAAGTTATATCAACCATAGGCTGTCTTGTACACCACATTGAATTACAGTGAATAAAACGATTCTGATGTACTTACATCATCGAGTATATAACCAGAAATAGAGACGAAATAAGGGACGTATGCTCCTGGTAGCACATTAGCGATACAGCTCTTATAAATATCAACTCCCGTTTGGACTGAAATATAGACATGCCAATACTGACCTGTGTGTACGTCTCCGTATATTCCAAAAAATATTCTGTTTTTATTGTAATAAAGATAATATCTCTAACAATGCCGTGCTGTTCTATTCATATTTTTTCGGTAATTAAATATGTGATTTTGCAATTTTCGTCCATTATAGCAAAACTCAAGTTTACTGGTCGATTTGAAGTGAAGCAGTTGATGATACCCATTGACGACACCCGTCAATTGTTTCGAACTCGGGCTAGCCAATTGGAGCGCAGTTGTCATAGTATTGATATATATCGTCTCTATTCCTGGTTATACACTCGATGACTTACATTGTACAATTATTAGTAAAATTGTTCGTCCTTCGGAACAGACTAGGGCGTCTAATTGTCCATACTGTCAGATTTTAGTTTGAAATATTTCTTTGATAATTGAAATTTCTGACATTTTTTCGCGGGAAATCGTTATATGTATCATTATGGTAGCCCTTTTGAAACTCTGTACAATTATTAATTTTATTAACATTATTTCTAAAAGGAGTTTAGAAAACGAGTGCTAGTTTGTTGCCTTAGTTATGTATTTGATGTTGCCATAAAACACTTTCTAAAATTTTATGACTGATGTACAAGAGAGAACCAATTGTTGGTTTCCATTCCACCTTCACGCTAATGGCAGTACTTACTGCAAGTATACAAAATTTCTTAAAGTAGACCTTTATGGCTATTAATTTAAAGATTCTATGAAAAGTTGTAGTATCAAATTTTTATAAAGGATTTATTTTTTATTTTTAAATGTTCACCTTTTTTTTTTCGGAATTATTACAAATTATACCCTCAATAATAACAAAAGTGTAGAACATTTATTGGAAACTGATAACGTAAGAATTAAAATTATAAAATTGTATTATTTTTCTTAATCAATTAGATATTTATTCCTATTTGGAAGTACGTTATTTTTTTTAAACACTTTTTATCAGTTTCTCAAAAATTTTATTGTTTTAAATGTTCGGTTCGAAAAAGTAAAAAACAGTACTTATGAATTCTTTTTTCAAAAACTTACGTGAGGTTTCTATAAACTTATTGTCATACTACAACTTTTCAAAAATATTGTAATGTATTCATATTATTTATTGAATTACTAGTGAAAAAGTGCATTCTTTATCTACATTCTCAGCTACTGATCACAAATTTAAGTAACACTACCTATCTAGTATTAGAAGCTGTACAAATTCTACATTGTATTCTATCTATTTAATTAAGACTCTGATTTATTATGTACATACGTGGATACTGACCCGCGTCACTTAATGAGTGGTAATTTTATTATATGTAATAATGTATTACAGATTAATGTAAAATGATTTCAATTGGGCTTACGCTCAGTATATGTTTTAGACATCGAGCGCTAACAGAGCTTTCAATCGTAGAAGTCAAATGAAAGCGGGTTTAGTGACTATAGGCAAGCGTGAGGGTTGTGCGAGCACCATTGAGGCCACAAAGGTGCCGCGCGGACGCCTTTTGCGACTAACCGAGCCCGCTGTGTGTCTAAGCGGAGATACACATCGGCAGCAGCGCCTTCTGATCGATCAGACCAAAGTCTCTCAGCCAGCGCAGCGGCTCGCGGCCACACACGCGAGTCCAATCCGCCCGGCCCTAGTTGCTCCGTCCATTGACAAGCTGCGCCCCCATCTATGCGCCAAGGATTCACATCAGCTGAACTCAAACTAGCTGGCTGCTCGTCTACCCACGGTCGATGCTCGTATACACGCTGCCAAGATCGGTACGGCCCACAGTGTCCATCCGAACTGTCCCGCCACGACCCGAATCCGCAATCTAAGTACCACGCGTCTACGTGGGAAATTATAGATCTAAACCCTGCATCTAACACAGCTCGAGATTCGGGCCAACTTGACGAACCCCAGATTTGTATACCTATATTTTTTACATCTAACTTTTCAAGGTAAGGCGAACGAGTGAGGCGGGATGACCACAGTAACGTCAACTCTGGCAAACGTCCGCCATTTGCGCGTTGTAAAGATTTTAAAGCTTGACGAGTAAAATCTAGCCACAGATTCATCGGATCCGTATCGTTAAAGTGTTGCTTCCAACATCGTTCTGAAACCTCGTCACCGCCGAGGTGGAAAATATCGTCAACATCCGTAAGCTTGATAATTTCGGCATAAATATGAGTTAGAAGATCATAAACGTGGGGATTTCTTGGATTGAGTTGGCCACAAGGTGGTTCTCCGCAATAGGAGTTCCACGGCGTTTGTTCTACACAATAGGCGAGATGACCGAGACCTGCTTCTGGGCCCCATGCCCAAGCGCGCCCTACGTGCGCCGGAGCGTCTACTTCTATGAGCACGCGAATGCCACGAAGTTTCGCACGACGAACTATTGTTTTCACATCTTCTTGTGTATAGATGGCGCCTGGACTATATGCTCCATGCTCTGCTAACCGCGGAGCGCTGTTCAATTTCAAAGGAAACGATTGGGAATCACTTGCGTGCCAATGAAACGTGTTTAATTTGCAAGCTGCCATAGCGTCGATAGTCCGTAAGATTTCTTTCACTGAGAAGTAATTCCTAGCAGTGTCGAGTAGTAGTCCTCGGTAATGGAAACGTGGTTTGTCTTGTACATTAGCTGCTTCCAAGGTAAGTAATGACCCCGCGTAAGGATCCAGCCAAATTAGTTGCGACATTGTTTCGAATCCGTGTCGAGCGCCGCAGAAGGACTGCGCTGAGATATCAACTAATATGATATTGCCATTAGGCCGCATATTGAGTGTGTAGCTTTCGTCAGTGTTGAGGCGTAACCGGGGGTCTGCGGTGCCATTGACAGACACGCGAACGATGACCTCACGGGGAGTCCCGACGTCCATGTGTCGGTTATCTCCGTGGCTGCGTTCGAGGTGACGTAGGTCATCTTTGAATAATCCGAATGCGTCGTTCAGGTGCTCGGTTACAGCCCTCGAGGGCGAGTAGATTATTTTGAGTGAGTACTGGTCTGCTCTTACTGGGACTGCAGCTGTTGCTAAACTCACTGGGCCGGTAGGTTGTGGCCACAGCTGCGTAGACGCGCAGAGCATGTTGCATGTTGGTAAAGACTGCAGTGGCACCGATTCGGATGCAAGAAGACGCTCGCAGCGATCGCTCCGACATATCCACGTCCACTGTGGCACGCTGAAAAATTTACAACAAAATATGTTAAAACGAGAAAATTCGTTCAGACACTGGGCATCGGGTCTACAACCGCATGCTTACAACTTGTCGTAAATACTCTTATTGGCAATTCAATAAAAATTGAAATCGTAACAAATAAATATACTTCTTTATAATACTGATAGTATAATTCTTTGTAAGATTTAGTGTGAACAAAGTGATAACGGTGAAATCAACAGTTAAAGTAATTGAGATTGAAGATTTATTTGTTTCTTTACTTATTTATTTGTATAATAGAAGAAAAAAAAAGCGAACAATGAGAAAGAATAACAAAACAAACAAACGAGTAAATTGACAACACATACAAAAATTAGAATTTAAGACAAAATTTCCATAAAACAAAATCGAAAACAAAACAAAAAACATTTGCAAAAACAAAGACACTTAAATAAAAGCACTCGTACAGTCAACAGCGCATCAAGCTACACATTGAAGTATCTTGTTCCGTTGCACTGGAGGCGATTTTCGAACAAAAATGTGTAGTCTGATGCGCTGTTGTCCGTACAAGTGACCTTTGAACATACCACTCAGCATTTCCATGGCAAACAAAGGACTAGAAACAAGGCTGCTGCTGCTTCAGCGGAGCTTTACTAGGATGAAATTTTTTGACGAAACCATTCATTGTATTGAAAACTTTGTATTAATGTGTGCAAATATTATTTGCATTAAAAAGTGTTATTTTGTTTAATTAAATTTTCCCTCAATTACAGTTGAGTGTAAACATGTTCTGCTAACATCCTTCAATACTCTTCCAAGTAAGGCCAAGATACCTTTAGCTGTCGAGCGGTCCGGCAGAGAGCTCGTTCGGCGGTGGTAACATCATTCCCTTTGCGCGTCTCACGACGTGTAAATACCCTTATTTTCTCTCGACCGTTCGTCTGCGGCCTTACGTCCTTGACCTATTCCTTGTCTATTTATATATTTATTTAATACACTTATAAGGGTAGGGCTACATTTTTAAAAGCTTTTAGGGTGCTGAGATTGATAACTCAAATTCAAATAATCTTGATTTCATAGGTACGCAAATTACTCTTGAAATCGTCACAAACGTAAAATATAAACTGTGTGTGTGTTTACAACGGATAATAAATATGTGTAAGTTGTAATAAATATATAGGTTGTATAAGTAAATATATATTAATAACTGATTAACTTATTCGATATGAGCAAATGCAAAGATACTGTTGTAAAATGCTGGAAAATGTAATGAGTGTTCCTTTTGATTTCCCAACAGTAAAGCCTTAAGTTTGCGCTTTAAAGCATTCCTACTAGAAATGTTACGAAAAGGAGGGCGTAAATCATTCCAGTACTTGGATGATGCAGCCCCTTAAACTGCCTCAGAAAGGTGCTATGCGGTGACCTGGAACGATAGCACGAATCTTGTTCTTGAATGGCGTTGGGGCGTTGAATAAGTTTGCAGCATTCAGATATGGAATGATTTGGGATCTAGGAGGCACCCAGAAGTAAAAGCATACGTTTTGTACACGTTGTATTGACGTAACTTCCTTGTAGACGTACCAAGGCAACAACCACTATAAACAACATCACAGTAGTCGATCAAAAACAGAAAATATGTATTTCCACCATTTTACCTTGGTATACTGTACCTACCTAATTATTGTAAAGTTAAGCGACGATGCGGCCGATGGTGTGGCCGAGGAGGATTTATTTTTATAGTACAGATTCGAGGTCATGATGGGAGATACTGACGAGTATACATGTAAGGGTCTTCGGTCGCTGGGATCAGTCTGCTGCCGCCAGTAGAGCAATGCGGCAGCAGTGCAGGCGGCGGCGGCGAGTAGAAGTAGCGCGCGGCGGAGGCGGCCCACGCGCGAGAAATGTGCGCCCGCGCCTCGTCCAAGCGCTTCGCCCCACGTCTTCATCTCACCACCTTTCGCGAACCTGGGAAAGAACAACATAACTTATAGCACATTTTAGTTTTCCAGATCATTGATTGGGTATAGCTTTATTGGATAGCAAAGTTAATTTGAACTGGTTTATGTGTTCAGTGTTTAAAAGCAATAATCAACTTTCTGGTAATGACAATTCAGTTAATCTGATTTATGCAAGAAATACTATCAGTGTTTTTTGTAACAATATTTATTTTGTTGAATATCATGTAATGTTTATAGTACCATTCATATATTTTTTGTGAAAATACTCTACTACTTTGTTATTATTATACTTTTTATATAAATAATAGACACGCGCTTGGCCATAATCTCGCCTGATGTTAAGCGATGATGTGACCGACGATGATACGCGTTTGCCTAAAAAATGCCTATTCACTCCAGCCTTGAATAGCCCCAAATTATACTTTTCGGGAAACACAGATGCCGTAGAATATTCATCATTCCTTTGCCGTAGGCATCAGAAAGCAAAGCGCTTAGTGCGAATGAACACAAAGATAAATTCTTTCGACCTAACTAGACTTGAAACAGCGTCTGGTGCCACACCGAGCCACCGCTCTTACCAACTGAAGCACAGACCGAGTCAACAGATCTTTGTATTATTGGGTTTAAATAGGTTTTTTTCCGTTGGCGCCATATTCGATAAATTTATGATATTGTTGGGTAACATTTTTGACTTTTACCCGCCTTTAAATACGTTAATTAAGCGCTTTTTGTAAATAAGGACCTCGATCAATCAGTGATGTGCTATGAATGTGAAAAAAGAATTTAAATTACATATGCCGTCGACTTCACTTAGTTTTATTCATATTTTTAATTCATTCGCCTCTGTTTATTACCTTATTGAGTATGAATAATATTCTACAAACTTTAAATGTTGTAGACGCTTACGTTACGTTACTGTACACAAAAGCTACGTAATTCGATTTCTGAATAAACTCTACATAAAAATATATGACTTGGTAACACTAATGTAATTTAGTTCGACTAAGTATTTATTAACTGCAAAGGGTTGTACATTAATCATGGTTGCTATTAGATTTGCGAAGATTCTAAGCGTTTAACATTAACTTTAAGCTACAGGTAAAGTTGAACTGTTTAAATTAATGAGCTCTTGATGTAGATACTCCATGATTCATACATTTAGTTACAGTAGTGTCAATGTATAAGTTTCAATTTGTAACTAAACATCCGTAGGTAAATGTCAAATGTTGTAACAAAAATACGTGGAAACGCGTCCACTTTTCATTGTAGATGCAATAACACATATTTTAATATTCCAAATTAAGTACAATAATATAAAAATAATGTGTCACATAACTATTGTTGGGTAAGTTTTAATTGAATAATTTGAAATAAAATTAAAAAAATATGATTATATAATACGAAGACTTTTTTGGTACTAAATTTATCAGAATTGACACTCTGAAATCGCACAATTACAGCTTCATATCTTAGAAACTAACCAGCAGATCGAGCTGGAGTTTCTTTTACTTTAGAGAAAACATAATTTTTTACAAATTTTTGGAATAACAAGTTGTTATAGCTATTAAATAAAAAATGATAATCTGAGGTACACCCGCCATATTCACTGTCAATGCGGCGGGTGTACCTTTGCCATATTGCTATATCTTCGTTCTGATGGAGGTACAAACTTTTTAAACAGAGGTACTAAATAGTACAAATAAGTACATTTTTTTGATACCAAATTTGTCAGGATCTGTTAAGGTACACCCGCCATTCTGACGCTTACCTAAAAGCAGGTTACAGAGAAACGAGATTTAAAATGAGTGGACAACAGCGAAAAAAGACAAATCATAAGTAAAAAAAAATCTTCATAATAGCTCCATCGTTTTCGGTCAGTATTTTCAACTTTTGACAGGTATCAAATGTGGAAAAATACAAGAAAAAAAGTAGGAAAAATATTCGGAAAATGTTTACTTTTCGGAAATTTTTTTCCATGACCCGACACTACACATAACTACATCAATTGCCTGGTCTCAAACTAAGGAATTCCTTGAACTATGAATACTAGAGTAACGGAATTTATTCCGAGGCACTGGAACACTCAAATTAGGACCAATGTACAAAATTTCATTTCCCAGTGTAAGTGTATGGAGTATACAAAAAACGATTCCCTGTACCGTAAGTACCAGAGCAACGGAGTTCATTTCGGAACACTAGAATAATTATATCAAGTCAATGTAGATTAATGTAGAATGTACAAGTGTACGGAGCATACAAAAAAACTAAATTATTATCCATACGTATCGCCCCTGTATGTAATAAAATAATATTTAAATAAAATTAAAAAGAAACACTATGTAAACTAGTGTACACAGAAAGTTAAAGTCACCATCCTTAAGCTATACGATAGTTCTACTGTAAGTAGTTGAAGAGTTGGGTACCTTGCAATTCTGATTGCAGCATCAGATCAACGTTACTGTAATTTAATTTGTAATAATCTCAGTACAGAGTACTAAAACAAACCGATCTCAAAAGTACGTGGAATTACGTCTATTTGCTAAGTTTGATTGAAATATCCCCTAGTTCGCCACTATACAGGACTTGATACTGGAGATAATAAAAATAGGTTCTCACTACGACACTACTCAAAGTATATCGAGGGAAAAACGCCTTGAATTGGAGAAATAGCAAAGTCAACAAAATAATTGCTAAAAGCAATTGCTCCTAAATTAAAGTTAGGCGCTATTTATAAAAATGAATCTTCATGCGTGAACAGTCACCCTTAGAGGTGGATGATTTCCTTCAAAATGAAATGGGACCACTATGTAAGTACCCCCTTTACAACAAAAAAAGAATCATGAAAATTGGTTCACAAATACCGGAGTTATCGCGTAACATACATACAAAAAAAACATACAGTCGAATTGAGAACCTCCTCCTTTTTTGAAGTCGGTTAAAAATAAGTATTCATTCTGACTGAAATTCCTAACGGAACGAACATGCGGACCTCACGAATTTTTCTGCGCTTGTTGTCGGATCTTTGTATCTGGTTTTTAGCTGTAGCGCCATCTACTAGAAATCTATGAAAGTATTTCGTCAATGATTGAGTGTCATGATGGTGAAACATCCTGACATTCCATGAAACACTTAATTACTTACAGTCAATAGTGACATCTCTAGCCAGGGCTGGTAGCTGTAAAGGTGCCTAACTGGGTGACGAAATACTTTCATAGATTTCTCCGAGATGGCGTTACGGCTAAAGTCGTTAAAAACCAGATACAAAGATCCAACAACAAGCACATAGTAAAGTTCCTGAGGTCCGCTTGTACGTTCCATGGCTTAGTTGGCATAGCGTCTGGCACGGCTTGCTAGAAGAAGTCGGTTCGAATCCGGCCGGTTCGAAGAATTTTTTCTAAGTGTTCGATCTTTATATATCTGGTCCGTCCCAAAAGTATCGAACATTTTTCAGGAAAAATACTTTTATTGAACTTATCGGTACCATACATTAGTACTCTTCAAAATAACACCCTTCAGCATCGATGCACTTTTGTAGGCGAGTTTTCCATGCCCGGAAGGCCCCCTGGAAGACGTCAACGGGTAGGTCCTTTAGCGCCCTCGTCGTAGCTTCTTGGATGTCCTTAATTGTGCCCCAATGCTTGCCTTTGAGCTTCGACTTGATGCTGGGAAACAAGAAGAAGTCTGCCGGGGCGACGTCAGGACTGTAGGGAGGCTGCGGGACCAGCGGGACTCCTGCTTTGGCCAGATACTTGCTAACAAAGAAGGCAATGTGCAACTCCTCGGTCACGATGCGATGCACGGTCGACTTGGCGATGTTGAGGGTCTGTGCTATCAACCGCACTCCTTGACGACGATCCTCGTTGAGAAGCTGACGCACACGGTCAACGTTCTCGTCGGTCCGCGATGTTGAAGGACGACCAGAGCGGGCTTCGTCGGTCACCTCTTCCCTTCCGTCACGGAACATCTTGTGCCACTTCCTGACCGAGGATTCGGACAAGGCTTTGTCCTTGAAGGCCTGTTTAATCATCTCGTTGGTTTCCACAGTATTTTTGCCGAGTAGAACACAAAATTTCACTGCGTACCTCTGTTCTAACGGATCCGTCATCGCGCTACTTTTAAAAACTTCGACGAGGTGTCGTTTACAGCTCTACGCGAACGCACGTCCTGCCGCTCCAGGTGCTCGGAGCCAACTGGGACCGGTCGCGCTGTATCGGCTAGATCCCCCCACCACTTTCTGTTGCCAAGCGGAGCGCTTCCCGCCGTTCGGCAACACTCCCAAAAAAAATGTTCGATACTTTTGGGACGGACCCTGTATGTATAGTCTCTATGCGAGAATAGCAGTATCTTGCCGCCGCCCGCTAACAAAAATGCGGTTACGTGACAAAATATTTTTTTGACAAAAAATATATATAAATAACCGTTTTAGAATTTTGAAATTCTTTAATGATGATTAGGTAAGTCCCGATAAGTCGGACACGTTAACTTTAACTGTTTTTGAACAGAGAATTTTGAGCTCTATCTTATGCTATTTAAAACGGATATAATGACCACTTGTCACTTAGCTGCGTTTTTTTAGTTAGTGGACGGCAGTTCGCATTTTATGTGGCTCTCGCGCCAGTCGCACCCGGCCGTGTTAGCCCTGCACCTCGATTAAATTAGCCTTCAAATAAAAAACCAATCGCTTTGAAATCAGTCCATCCATTTGGGTGCTACGACGACAGAGACAAAGGCTTCAAATTTATAACTTCTCTCTTTTTCATTAGGTTATGAATGAGATCGGATCATTTATAGTATTCAGTAGTTTGTAACTCTAAAGCTGGTGAAATTACAGGCATATGAGACTTGACAAGTTACGTCTCATCTAACCAAAGGCTCTGAGTGACACTGCAATGAACACGCGTGTCGCTTACCACCAGGCCTACGACTTGTTCGTTCCGTCACTTGGTATATTAAAAAAAGTCGTATTGACCAAAATAATAAAATTAAATTCCAAGTTTAGTTAAAACTTAGTTTAATTAATTAAGGAAATTTCTGAGTCAATCCTTTATCCAGTTTAAAATTAACTAGTGAAGGTCATTTATTGAACATTCATAAGGTTGTACAGAGCTCAGACTTAGTTACAGAACAGCTGCCTATTTTTGCATATTAGATTACGGCTTGCTTCCTACAAGGGCCTAAAATAGAAACTTAAATGTTAACCATAGCACTATGGTTAACATTTAAGTTAAACTGTTAAACTTTAATTAGATTCGTACACAGAACTACTCCTATACGCGGTTACATCTAATAAAAATTGACAACATTGCACGGTCAACCCGCAGTCGCAAGCTAACCGATCCGATAGTCTATGAAACTCTTTTGTAGAAAATACAAAAGAGTATCATAGACTATCGGACCTTTTAACAATGCACATATAATCAACCCATTTATACGTCCCACTTTTGGGCACGGGTCTCCTCTCAGGCGAGAGTTTAGGCCAACGTCCGCCACACTGGACTCATCTCATTACCATATTTGTTTAGAATAAAATAGAATAGAAGCCATTTATTACAAAACGCAATAACACAAAAATACACAGTAAGAAAATTGTAAAAAAAAGGATAAAACTAAATAAAAATAAAAATAAATTAGAATAGCAAATAAGATATTATAAAATTAATTAAAAATAAAATCTTGGTAATACGTAATCAAATGACCACAAAGCAAAAACATTAAATAGTCAACACTATTGTGTACTAAGTAGATGTCATGTGTATTTATATTTATATAATCTCAGTACAGAGTACTAAAAAAACCGACCTCAAAAGTACGTGGAATCACGTCTATTTGCTAAGTTTTATTGAAATATCCCCTAGTTCGCTACTATACAGGACTTGACACTGGAGACAATAAAAATAGGTTCTCACTACGAAACTACTCAAAGTATATTCAGAGAAAAACGCCTTGAATTGAAGAAATAGCAAAATCAAGCATTAAAGTAATTGCTCCTAAATTACAGCTAGGCGCTATTTATAAAAATGAATCTTCATGCGTGAACAGCCACCCTTTGAGGTGGATGATTTTCTTCAAAATGAAATGGGACCACTATGGAAGTAGCCCCTTTCCAACAAAAAAAGAATCATGAAAATCGGTTCACAAATTTGGTTATCGTGTAACACACATAAAAGAATACAGTCGAATTGAGAACCTCCTCCTTTTTTGGAGTCGGTTAAAAAATAAAAATTGATTTACAAAGGGTGGGAGCCTGGACATCTGTAGTAGTATGAACTCCAAAGTCGTACTACCTCAGCTCGAATATGTCACGTACTGAATCGGTTTTATTTCAGAATTAATTTTTTTATAAACAAAATTAAAGCCATTTGAAAAATATGTATCGTATACTATACTAGCTCAGTTGATATAAAAAATTCATTGTTCAATTCAATTCATTCATATATGTAAAGTACCTATCGAACACTGCGGTTTTCTTAAAAAATGTCGAGGTAAGTTTGTGTATTTTTTCTATAGTGAAAATTTTCGGGAATTGCGTTTTCGCACCGTTTACTAATCAGTGTGTATCCTGAATTTCACTATTTATTTTTTCCAAAGTAATTCAACACTTTCGCTGTTATGCGGATTCAACCAGAGCCATTTGAGGTTGTATCGCCTCTAAAGGCAGCTTTAACTTAACTAATGACTAATCTGTAGTTAAACAAACCTTCCTTTTGTGAGAGTGACTAAACATACTATTATTATCTTCAATCAGCTTTTACATTTTTTTTTTATAGCTTGTGATAAGAATTTTACATAACAATACACAACTTTATTAATCCCCAAAACATGCCTTATATTAGATAATTTCTGAAAATTAGCAATCGTGTAAGTGACTTGGAAGTTGCACTGCATATTTTATAAGACATGAACCAGGTCCGCAGGGTGAACAACTTTTACTGCTGGAGTTTAACATTGTTGTTACAGTTGAGACAGGTCGACATAATAGCTACTTTTATTAGAATAGTGGACGAGATAGTACCTATTGTGTTAAAAATTAAGTCAGGCCATGGGATCTGTAGGGAGTCTGAAAAAACCACGGTTGAAAAAAGTAAGTACGTAAGTAGTAAACAAGTAAGTGCCTTAAGCTTCGATTACTATCGGAACGCTGTCGCAAAACGCACACAAACAAATTTTAATGATAAACACTACGAAATCTTAATTATAATTAGTCATAGTTTCTAATTTAAAAAGATGTAACGAATTCTGGATTGTTTAATATAATTTAAACTTTACCCACTCGCTATATAGTTGAAAGTTCAATACTCTTATTGCGAGTTATGACGTTTTGATTATATATTTTATTCAACGTGCTGCCATCTTGCGGTCAGTAGCTGGACTACGACGAACGATTAACAGCTGAATTGATACGGTAAACAGAAGGTTGAAATCATTGACTTACAATTATATGGACGTCGGGTCCGCGCTAAAAAGTGTCCGCACTTGTAAGGCGCTAAAATCGTATACAGAGCGCCAAACTCCGCTTTAGTCTTCATTTGTTCGACTGACAGCGCGATACTGCGATGACATTACAATTTAAATTTCGAATAGGTTGACTTGGGACATTTTTTTCGTGGTTTTTGTATTAGACCCGTCGTCCATTTATTTGTAAGTCAATGGTTGAAATTTATTAAAATTAGACGTACCGATGACATGAAATACTACTACGGGCCGTGTCAACGTTGGAACCGTGAGTTATACGTTTACGCCTGGGTCATGTTTGCACCTCGGCTTTTTTGCGCAAAATCAGAGTCCGTGATCACTCTCTGTGCGAGTGCCTAGAGGACGGTAACTTGGAGGTAACACATTTCTTTCAATAACTCTTACATTTCTGTCCCGCTTTATAATTTGCTACCTCGAAAATTCCCCCGCCTCATTAACATAAAAAATCTTTTAGCTCCTTGTGAAAGAGTTCGTCCAGGGTGGTACTGCCACCTCATCTATTTCTGTCGCCAAGCAGTAATGTCAGCATTACTGTGTTCCGGTTTTGAAGGGTAAGGGTGCTGGTGAAATAACAGGCACATGAGACTTATCAATATCAGATCTTTGCGATTTAAGGCTGTGAGTGGCACTGCAATGGACAGGCGTGTGTGTAGCTTATCATCAGGCGTACGACTCGTTCGTCCCGTCACTTGATATTGTTATATGAAAAAAAAAAACAAAACAAAAACTTTTGTGTTTCCCCCTATATTTCTACTCTAAGTAAATTCATCCAGTGAAATAATATATATTCTTCCGTGGACTAATCCATCAACATCGTCTCGTTAATGTTTTATTAGAACTCAGTGCCTTTTTTGTTTGGTTTAATTTTTCTTTCCACCGTGGCACAATCATCATTCTATGTAATGATGGAGCCATAAAAATAAAAAGTGAAGTGAAGATAACTCGGAGTCATTGATGTCATACCTGCCGCGACCACGCGTATACCGCGCGTCGTAAGCGCGTAGCAGTTTCGTGGGATGCACGTAAAGGTAACTAAATGGAGTGTAAAATTTTTAAATATTTTATTTGTAAAGATTTTTAATTAAGTTTTATTGAATGTTTCGCTACCATGACATAAAATTATTTTTTTGTGAAATTATTCCATTAGAGAAAATAGAAAAACTTCACTTCGATCCGGCTGAATTCGAACCAATGTCTACTAGCAAACCGTGACAGACGCTATGCCAAGTAAGCCATGGAACGAATCAATGGACCTCATGAATTTTTCCATGTGTTTGTTGCAGATCTTTGTTTTATAGATTTTTAATTTTTACTCATTTTATTTGGCTACTTCGGCAACAGCAGGTAAAATTACGCAGGTTTAATGAATTAACCACTTGACATTGCAAGTCTCACACGTTACTCAGACGGAACACTTAAAAAGTTGCTGCATATTTTATGCTATTATGTGCCCAGAATACAGCACTGACTTTGTGAACAGGTTACAAGGGATTATGAATATTCATTGAAAATTTTCTTGGGATAATTTTACAATAACCTAGGGAGGTAGACCCTAGAGGGATGTTGGTCGGTGTTTTATTAAACTCGTTCAGTTGTTCAATTTTTGGATTGCCGGAGCTCGTAAAATGTAGT